TTTATGATCTTGAAAGTCGAATAATTGCTGTCGCAAGAAAGTAGCACATGACTTTGGCGTGCATACTTTTTGAACGCATGAATACCCGCGTGGGCGGTCGGAAAAGAGAAAGGACTAGGATGAGAAAGACTGACAAACTTGACATCCCGTACAATATCATCAACAATAACTTTCTAAAGTTAAATAGATCGAGAAATTCTTCAAATCGCTGGAAATAGTAATTCGACATTAAATCTCTAATATCGAAATTAATTATCAATTAATAACGAATTAATAATCAATTAATATCGATTGTGATGATCCTTTCCCGCGCGTTTTATTTCCTTTTTTTTTTTATTTCGTATTTTAAAGTTCTGTTAGAACGATGATTGATCACCAGATCCCCCTCTCGATGTTGCGCGCACGGAGGCGATCAAAGCAGGTTTACTTCGTCGCCTAGAATTAATTACGCCAAGAGAGGCCATAATTTCTCCGCGCGCCGCAGTCCGTGCCGCGCGAGGACCGATCGGACCGTTCACCTCGCGGTGGGGAGGAACGTTAAACGTCAACGTCGATACACCGTCGGCGTAAATAATCGTTATTGTTGAAGCCCGCGCAGCAGCAACAACGGCAGCAGTGCAATCTCTTTTTCTCCGCTGCACGCTCGTTTCGCGCGGCGCGGCGCGGCGCCGCGCGCGAGTACTGGTCGCCGGTGAGTCACAACGGGACCTCACTCGCGTCGGCGGAGGTGGCTCTTGTCTCGTAATTTATAGATCGCGGCGAATCGCCGAAGGGGGACAACGGAAGACTCGTCGTCATGGCGGACACGCCGCTGCCGTCAGCGAGCTCTTCCTCGTGGGCAGGCATCGTGGAGGAGTATCGTATTCGTGCGCGAAATCGCTCGGGTCGGTCACTGCGCGCCACAAATGTCGCGTGAGAACATTGCCATTTTTACCTGCGTTACTTATAGTCCGATGCGGAAATCTGACTTGAATTTCAGATTGCGTGAATCCAGGCGAGATTCTTTTACAAAATAGAAGACAAAAGATTTACCATCCTGTTAAAAAAATATTGCTGCACTGACAGCTTTTTTATCGCCTATGTAAATAATATTTCTCTCATGATTGTGAGATGGAAAATCGCCTGTCAGCAATTAAAATAATGTTAGATTGCATGAAAAGTTACTCGCATATAATGCAATGTATACAATTTATTTGCTTCTGAATGAGTATGCGATAATAGTGAAACGCAATATTATATATTTGAAATCTTCCCAAAGTGCATCATTATAAAAACTAAATTTTTTAACATATCATTACACGTAGGAAATACAATATAACAGTAAATGCGATCAGTGCGCATTAATTGCAAATCATAGTGAACAACACAAAGATCGTTTGGAAAATTACACATATCGCTAAAACCGCTTTACGCTCTTACGAGGTGACCTCTTACGCGCTATCACTTTACCCACTACTTGTAGCATCGCCCAACTCCCTCCGGTCGCAAGCGATCCCGATCGACCTCTCGAGTCCGAATAGCGACTGTGTCTAGGCGCCACGAGTCGGAATATCATCTCCAGAAGTCGATGGGAACCGTGGTGGCTTCGTCTTCACATATTGTGCCAACAATTAGGTGAAAGGCGCTCCCACAGATCTTAGAAGCCGCGCAAGCGGAGAGTGCCATGCGGAATGAAAGAGGAAGGGAGATGGGAAAAGCGGATAGAGGGAAAGAGACAGCGTTCGATCGCGCACGGGGGGAGAGGAGGGCACGGGGGACTGGATCGTTTAATATACCTACTGAGCGACCAACCGACCTACCTACCTACCAACCTACCGCCTAGCAATGTAGACGCTTACCACGTCGCGAAACGTGCACGAGAGCGAGTCTGACAGAGACGGAGTCCTAGTCGAGCAAAACACACCTCGTGCTCGCCCAAGGGGGACTAATCTAGCTGGTAGTTTGACGTGGCGATGATGCGGTAGTAACCTTTAGATACTTCGTCTTCTGGTATGATCCTACCATTCGCAACGATATCCCCCGCGCTTTACGCCTCGCACACCCGTCTTTTTCTCTCCTTTCTGCCTTCCATGAGTCGGCTTTTTTCATTCAGGCGCAACTGCTTTCGTGTTTTACCCTGTGAAACCGCGATTTTATCACTATTGCGGTTTCTAGAGAGCTTGTTCTACGAAATATAACACGAACCGAGCGGCTAGAGGTCTTTCGGATCTTTGTTACCTTCGGTCAAAGAGTATTGGATTTTTCTTTCGACGGAAATGCATATAAAAATATCAATATCGAAAATTTTTCCGAAAGAGGACAGGTCAGGTTTGCTTTGTTTCCAAGCATTCGCGGAAGAAGGTCCATTTTCTTATCGTATTGTGTCTTCTTTGCGGTTCAGCGTTCGATCTTATTTAGACTCTCGATTTATTTCATCAGACGCTTCTTGTGTCTTTCAGCTTTTGTATTCGGTTTCTACACCTCGCGATTTTAATCTCACCTCACCGCGCTTTATCTACTTTAAGTTGATGATTTAGCGATAGTAACCTTCTTAACCTTTAGGCATTCACCTTTTGCTACCATCCACAATTGCACTCGCTTTCACACGTAACCATCTTCGATTATATTTTCACATATCGCCTTTTCTTTCATTCGATTCTATGTGTTTATTAATATTCTATAGTGTGTATGTAATTACACATATTCATATTCATCCGTGACCTCGTCTTACTACTTTCATCGATTAAATATGCGCCAAGCTTGTTTTATCGAACGTCATTCATTCTTGCGTGAAAAGAAGCTCAAATTTTAACTCATTATTCACCGGATGATTGAACGTAATAATGAAGTCCTTGACAACTGACATCAATAGGCATATGATATTGATATTGTCTCTTCCTATATAATTACGTGTATAATTCCTTTCATTCTTCTTTTTTCACTTTCCACTCCTGTGTGGCCCTGACTCTTGTGTGATAACGGTACTATCATTTTCGAATAATAAAATAGTATTTTTTTCTTTGAAGCTCGCAAAAATGCAAATTGAAATTTATAAAACTGTAAAGGTTTTTCTATTAGGTTATTCTGTTGGGTTTATAACATGTGTTTCGTAACAGCATTAATTAATGATTTCTTCCATTATGGAAATCAGTATTCCGAAGAAAAATTTGATCTCTTCCGCAGTGAAAGCGCACCGTGGCATTGGTGCTACTGTGGTAGCTGCCGTCGGGCATTTTTCGCCAACCTTTCACCCGAAAAAGGATCGCGGCCACGATTGCGGCGGCAGCGGTCGCGGCTGCACGACTGCTGAACGACGTCGGCCGCGAAGTTCACTTTCCGCCCGCGGAGGTGAGAGTTCCATGGGAAGCTTCTGCCCGCTAGCTTAACACTTCGCACACGCCCATAACTAAGTGTGTGGAAACGCGTTTGTACGCGAAGCGGCTTTATCAGTCACATGCCTGGTTGAGAGTCCGTAGGAGCAGTAATAAATGGCGATCGCAGACGCGGGTGCAACAAATAAATTCCTTGAAATGTTATTGGGAAAACTAAAGGTCACTGAAATTTAGTTGAATATTTAACATTGCGGGAGCAAATAGTGGAATAAAATGTTAATGTTTTATTTCTTAAATATTATAATATTAATTTTTATAGAATTTTAAGTAAAATTTCGTTCCACGTAAAAATAAAAATTGTAAGTTGTTTTTTTTTTTATAAATCATCATAGCTCCGATTTTTTCAATTATTCGACTTATCCAACGCTTAGACAAAAGTGTTTAATACGTTGAACAGTATCTTTCATTGCACGATCTCCGCAAACGAGTGTTAATTTTTACACAAACCCTACATTAAATTTCGTTGTAACAATTGAGGTTAAAACAATTAGACGAAAATTATGGAACATTGAGAAGACTCTGCGGAAAACCAATAGCACTGTCTGTACATCTCGGAAAGCACATCAGTGGGTCGTATTCAATCACCATGACATTCAGCTCACGACTTTTGCCCCAGGAGGTGAGAGCAGCTTCCAGCCACAACATAAAGTGAACAGGATGCATCGCGTGCAATCTTATTCGTCCATGGAATACAGCTTCGAACTCTTTAAGCTTATTGCACAATGTAAAAGTGCACGATTTTGCTGAACTGAAGAATTTGCTGAAACGTTGAAATACGATAGCATCATTTTTACCTTAGGATAGCAAAGTCAAAGCAACATATTGACGAAAGTAAAAAATTGAGGAGATAATTTTTTATTAAATTTTATTTTTAAAGAAAAGGAGAAAAAATATCTGCGGATATTAATATAAATGTTTAAGAGAAGAAATTTTTAAGATAAAACATATGACAAAAATATTTAAGGAAGTAGTTCCGACGCTGTGTAATTAGTTTTATTTTTTAATTAATTTTTTAAAATACTTTTTACATATTTCTTATTTTTTTGCACTCATTATATTATATTTCCATATAAATTGGATCAAGATATACTGTTAATCAGTTGACTTATTGTGACAAGAAGGATGATTTCGTATAGCTCGCTATTTCACGCCTGCGGGAGATCTGTCTTGATCAAAAGACTGCTACTCTTCTCCATCTTCTTCGCCTCGCTGCCCGTCGCTTAATTCGCTGTGATTTGCGTGACGACCGTTTCCGAATGATCTTGAGGAATGAATTATCCTGATAATTTCTACGATTGAGTCATCTTATAGCTCGTTTCAAACAAGATGTAGATTAATTGTAAGTCAGTTGTAATTTATAAAATAATTGTCCCATATTACGATCTTCATTACGTTGTGAAAAACATGATACAATCTCTTAAAATAAGATGAAGAATATATTGCAAATTACAAGAAGATTGAATTTGCTGCAATTTTATTACTATAAAATTCGGAATTTGAAAGAAGCAGAGAAGCTATTTTTATCATTGTTGCTGCGATGAATAAAAAATTATGGGAAGAATGTAAAGATTTTTAAACATTGCAATTTTAATACGAAGGAAGAGATTGATAAAAAAAAAAAGCAAAATAGCGTTTTACAAGTTGGCGAATTTATTTATAGTTTGCTAGAGTGGAATTTTCCCACTAATACAATGATTTGCAGAAAGCACACATGGAATCATCACGCGCATGTTGTTTCATCTCTCTTGGAGAGACAAAGAGCATGAACCTTCTCACTGGGCTGCTCGTGTACCTCGGTTGTGTAAAGCTAGCGATACATGCATGGATATCGATACATCGTGGGATAATAATATAAAATAATATAATAATTTTAATAATAAAATAACATTATTATCACTCCTATCATACCGTGCAACGAAATGCAGCTCTACACTCGTGAGGCCTATCGGCGGCTACAATACAGGATGACTAAGCGCTAGTTCAATAACATTCGTAAAATAATAATTAATAATAATATAATAATTAATAATATTAAAGACGCAGCAATACGCAGTTAAGCTATGTACAAAGTACGACCACGGTTTCGTTCCACTAAAGGGAATTAAAACAAAGTTAGAAAGAAAGGTAAAATCCTATTTGCTCCCGAAGCCATCGTAGATCTTTTTGCATGAATGTGTTTTTCATAAATTGCGCGAGTCGCTAAATGGCAAACTCTCGATGTCCTCGAGACGCCGTAGCTAAAACTCACATTGTGCATCGTATTGAACATCACTTATGAATATTTTGCAGTTTTCTCTTGCGTTAAAGTGAAAAATATTTAGCGGTATATCATAAAGATATATTAAAACCAGTCACGCAAATTCCTTAACCCTCATTAACGTACAAATTCAAACGCTTTCGCTCCTTTTAATGTACAGTTTGGAAAACATGCCGCAAATATATTAAATTTAATACAAGAAAATACATTCTCTTTAATACAATGTATCACGATGGACTCGAGTGATGCTCGAGTCGATAGATGATCAGAATAAGGAAAGAGTAATAATTTAATATGTAATCGTAATATGTAATTGTGTTTTATTATGCAGTATCTCTAGATATGGTATCAAATATAATATAGAAATGATAAAAGAAGGCAGGAAAATATAAGAGACAAATTGCGAGGTGTAATTGACTTTTTTCAGAAAAACATTAAAACTTGCAATATATGTATCGATTGCTAAATACCGATTTGTAACTCTTTTATTCGTTTCGTAGAAAACGGAAAATTTTGAGTAGCACAAGAAACAAAATTGACCTGTAAAATTCGAATCTTTTAATATTATGCTTTAAGAACTCGTCGCAAATATTCCTACCGTCTCTTGTATAAAGAATCGAAGATTTCTGCCGTTTACAATTGAGCTGAATGAATTCGAACGCGATGATTTTATTTGTGCTCGCCACACGCGCTTTTCCACTCGATTCTCGCATTTCGCGCCTTGCTCGAAAAGCAAGAGGGAATCGACATCACCACCTACACTGTATTACTTCACATTCTCCGACTTCGAGCCGTGTATTCCCGCTCGCGCAGCGTGCTACACCGTGTGCGATTTCCCTCGTTCGCGTTTTCGAGCATTTCACATCCGTCGCGTGCATCCGTGCGGGATATAAATAAGGGAGAGGAAAAAAAGCGATACGTAACATAGACAAAAAAAAAAAAAGGGAAAAGAAAGAAAAGATACGAACGACGTTCGGAATAACGGTTGATATTTATTCCACTTCAGTGGACTGTGTCTCGGCCGGAATCGAAGAGACACTTCGTCGAGGGTTCACCCACTGGAAACCGATCTCAGCTGACTGGTATTTGCGTCAGCGATACCACCGCGGGCCCACCTTGTACCACGTGGCCCAAGGTTGTCCGGTCGTGTCTTCGCGACAATCTCGCCCGCTCGTGAGCTTCGATTTTGCGATCTCCTCGGCGATCTTCCATGCGACCCGCGGTACCACTCGCAAAATTATACGGATTTTCTGACGGGGAAGCCAAGTAGCTCCGCGGCTGATTGCCAGGTGGTAGGTCAGGAAGACGTCGCTCCGGGCCTGGGCGTGGTCCACGGTAGCACGCGAAGAAGCGAACAGCGCATCCTCTGACCAGCGTTCCTGCGGAGCTAGTAGGTTATTACATAGTCCAATTTAGGACGTTAGCCCGAGGAGCCTGCGAGGAACGACGCCGTTGATAGCTTCCGTGATGAAAACGCGGAAGAAAGTCGATCGCCTGTTTGGGTTCCTGCATGAACTCCCGGCTCGCTCTTTCATTAAATTTTCGATTTTTGACGAAGACATTATATATCCTCTTCTTAATTTTCATTCCTAATCTTCTCGAATCTTCATCTCCGATTGAAAAATTGACATCGCACGCGATGAAGAGACGCTTTCGTCGACAATTTTATTATAAAACGCTCGTAGAAATTCTTATCAAGAAGATTAGAACATATTTCTAATTAAAGTAAAACGCATAAAAAAAAATTTGTTTAAACGATCCAATTTTTATGTATATAAATACATGTTATTTTTCGCAAGTAGCCGCACCTATTTTTCTTTCGCAAATTCTTTTATAAAACGCCGTTGAGTGAATACAAAATTTATTAGATGCGAGTCCTCGAATCATACATGATGCCTGATGTCATCTATCTCATCGCATCTTAACGCTCAATATGCAAGAGCCGGGATCGTTTCGAACATCGCGAATCGCTTGCCATATAATTTGCAAGAATATTATTACCCTTTTGAATCAGCCGAATTACACAGGAAGTTTAATGCAATCGCGCCCGTCCGCCATGCCGTTATATTCCAGGTCGCTTCCATTGTTTCGATGCGCTTCGTGTCGGATCGTTGATTCCTCTGATGTGGCTGGCGTCTGGGTGTAGACTCGGAATACAGAAAGATGACAGAAGCGAAAAAAATCAAAAAAGCAGGAACGGGTGAACTAAATGCGAGGGTGGTAGGCGAGGTGGTGACAACAACAAAAAAAAAAGTCGAATGGAGTTTCACAGTTGACAAGACACTACATCTCGTGCGAATTCGACGTGTTGTCGGATCGGCGCGGAGGACTGCTCTGACGGAAGTGGGATATTGGGAAAGTGCTGGTTGGTAGTTAGAGCATTCGATAGAGAAAGAGAAACGCGTGTCTACGGGAGTTTAGGATAGTAGCTGGCCGCGGATGGCTTCTAATACCTAGAGTAGCCATTTGAATAGCCATTTGAGTAGCCGTTGGAGCCCTTGTAGGGAACAGAGTGTATGCTCCTGGAACAAAGATGGTCGAAATCGGAAGATGAGGAAAGTACACTTTCAGGGAAAACCCCCTTCCCCTCTCGCACTCTCTAAATTCTCTTCCTATCTATCAATCATTCTCGCCGCCTCGTTAGAGCGTGGGACCCGTGCGCGCCGTGTGTTAGTATAAGAAACAGCCGATGAAGATAGTCGTATAGTGAGGGTAGTAAAAGTCGCAGATACGGTGAAGTAGCGGAAAAAGCAGATAGAAGAAGAAGTATACGCATGCTGGGGTTTTTTTCTTTTTTTTTCTGTGGTGGCGGTACAGTGGTTGTTGATCGCGCTTTCGTCGCAACCGGGAAAAAGTGCGGGTGAAAATGAGAGTGTGTGGTTCTGTAGTTTGTTGTTACTGTAGCTGTACGTAGTAATGTAATTGTTCCTGTTGCTGTTATAATCTGTTGTAATTGTTGTTCT